TTGAAATTCCTCTTCTTACCACAATTCCAGCATTCTCCTCTGCTTGACTTGGGCTTTCTTTTCTTGCACTTGGATCTGCCTCTGCTTGTATTCCTGGTCAGGTTCCTTCCCCTATTATCAACATTCAATATAGAACCTGAAGATTCATCATTCGTTGCTTTTCTGCAAATTTCTTCATTCAGAATTAGACCCACGATATCATCGATGTTCAACTTCGAAGACCTTGAAGAATTACTCACCGTCGTTACCAAGCCATCCAAGTTTTTTGGCAATGAAGATAGTATCAATAGTGCTCTGACCTCATCATCACACTTGATCTCCACAGAAAAACAACTGGTTGGCCAATGTGTTGAAGTTATTGAGATGCTCTGCCACTGAACTGTTTGTCACAATCTTCACGTTGAATAACTTCTTCATTAGAAAAATCTTATTGAAAGGAGAAATTTTTTTGTATATTTTGGTCAGTGTCCCCATGAGATCTACATTAGTTTTCTCATTCACAATGTTGAACACAACATATGAGGAAAGTGTCAACATGATCAAACCTAGTGTCGCTCAATCTAACCCTTCACATTCCTCCATAAGCATAGACTCAGACTTCCTTGTGATTCCTTGTAGTGGCAAGTACAATTTTTTCGGATACAACAAATCCTCAACCTGCATATTCCAGAAAACGAAGTTCATCCCATTGAACTTCTCCACTTTGAACATTGCTTTTTCTGTCATTGCTCCCACCCAAATCAACGCTTTGATACCAGTTTGTTAGGAGAAACTACTGCAAAAGAGTCTTCTTTCAATTTCGCCGCGGAATAGGATCACAGGATTCGAGAAAACCGGAACAAAAAATTTAAACACAGAAGCACAATCAAAGCAACCAGAAAAACACAAAATGATCTTATGCAGAAAAACTCGAGAATGGTAAAAAACCTCAGAGCCACACCACCGAAATTTCCACTATGAAATTCAGAAATTTTTACAAAGGACTCACACAAGCTTCTTCTCCACACTCACACGATGAAAATTACAGGACTTGCACCAAAATCTTTCCTCTCCGATTTCACAAAAAAATCACGTTGAATTACTAAAATTCACCTCTACGACACTTCGCACCTTCACTGCGATGCTCGCCGAAGAATTCAGAAAGAAAAAAAAAGCAAGATCACCGATCCATGCTCAAAAAATGACTTAAAAACTAATTTCTTGTGTAGTAACTGCATCGGGCCCTTAGACACCCAATCTTTGCGCCTAAGGGCCAAGCGCTCTGTATCGGCACCCCGTAATGGGCTCCTAGGTTCCAATAGACCGGTGTTTATGCGTCGGTTTCTCGGGAATAAGAGCAGTGCCCACTTTATAGCGAGCGCATATGATTCCAAAATGGCGTCTAGGCGTCGGCTCCTCTGTTCAAGCAACACCCAAGTGGGTGCTTAAGCACCCACAACTTGGAGCATATGCTTCGAGTGTCTTGTGTTTATGCTCCACACCCAATAAAGTGTATCATTATATTCACACTCAAAGTAATTTCATACTAGTAAGAACATAGCCCGAGCCCTCTGTCCACGTGATTTGACCCAAAGTCCCTGCAAAATAATGATTACAATCAGAGCCTTCTGACGAGGTGATTGCCACCAATTGTTACAATAATATTATGGTTATAGTTGCAGCCTATATGCTCCCAACTGCTTTCTTCCCTTAGGATCATAAAGGTATATCTAATTGTCATAAAATCTTATGTCAGCTAATGTTGACTTGAACTTGTTCTCTTAGACAAATATTCACTTCAGATCTATTAGGGTCTATTAGACAACACAACTCATGGTTCCTGATAAAAATCTTATAGCTAGGTTAGGTTGACTAACTCCTCTAACTATGTAGATCAGAGTGTGACAACTTGAAACGATGAAACCATGAGATTATGACAACCCAACAGTCGGTGAATACTTAAACTTCTAAACTACATTACGTAACAAAAAGAAAACAATGTGTATGCTAATAAAAAAGAATTTGACTATTTACTTTTTTCAACTATAACCGGTCATGATAGTTCAAAATATTCATTATTGTACTATATCATTTCAGTATCTATATTATTTTAGATACAAATGTCACGAGAGCGCCATCTAAAATTAAAACCAATAAAGATGTATTAATATCAATAACTTTTTTCAATGTAAATGCACAAATATTTTAGCATTTCCAGCTAGTTTTATGTGCCAACTTCCTTCCTGGACTGTGTGCTTGAGACTGACATCTATACGAAATAAGTTTTTTCTAGTGTTTGCACCATGACATCTTATCTGTTTCCTCAGCTTATAATTATCTCTCGGCTTCTAAGTTATTTTCGAAGATTTGAAAGATTTGAATTTGCATACGAGAACTGTATTTGCGGGTAAACACATTTTGAAGGTTTCTTATTTATTCTGTGGAGGTTTACTTGGGATTTTAGAAGAAGACATGCTCTATCTTTGTATACACACACTTCTTGTGGCTTCTTTGAGAGTGAATCAATCTTCTTTCCTCTCTTGGATGTAGATATAATTGAAGTTGACTCACAAAAAAATTAGTGTCTTCTTTATCGGTGCATTGTTTTTCTGTTTTATATTTTTTTAAATTTGAGGCACATCGACCTCTACTGTGATGAAACTTTTGTTTCGAGTAATATGACACCTTATGACACTGGTATCAAAATGCATTTTGCATATTAATAATCATTAAGTCTGTGATCGAGAATTTACGAGTTTAGCCTTTGGAAAACCCTGATTTCTGGTGTACCAACGGGACCTTATAAATGTACTAATCAAGCATTCAAATATGTAAACAAACTAGAGATAAAAGAAAGAGTCCTTATGGTGATTCAATTGTGATTAGTGAATGAGTTCTTGGTAAAGCTCATGGAGGAATCAACCATAAAAGATTTATGGTTCAATGTTAATTCAATAAACATATCCAAAAGCCTCTCCAATAAGCTAGATCCGAAACAAATGAAGGTATGCTGATCTTTATATATCTTTATATAAATGAAGGTATGCTGATCAAATATATCTTTATATATCTATATTTAAATAATCTTTATATAAATGAAGGAATGCTGATCAAATATATCTAAATTCAATTATTTGTTATTTAGAAAATATTTATAAGATTATTGACGATAATAATCAAAACATATTATTGTTGTGCTATTTACCTCCCACTTTTAAATAGTTTTTGGATACCATGTTGCATGCAAGAGAGATCATAAAGTTAAGAAAATGAGAAATTGATTACTACCTAAATATGCTAGAGAGTATTGATGAGAAAAAGCACGGTTAGGGATTATTTGTTAGGAGGAGATAATTGGAGAAGACATGAACCTTTAAAGGCAGGTTTGTTCACGAAAATAAGATTTAATTATATTACGAGAAATAATGGAACATATAAGAGAAGAGAGAGTGCCAAGTAGGTGACAATCACAAGGACAGGATTACATTTGCAAATATGACTAATGTAAATTTTGGTGATATTCTTTCTATGAGTATAGATTACATGCATAGTGATTAGTGGGTTAATGAATAATATGTCGGGGTCATTATTTTCTAACTATCAATTATGTAATAAATGTGCTTATATATGAGAAACAAAGGTGTACATAGGACCATACATCTTGGCAAAAGTTTTATAAGGATACATATCGATGCACTTTGTATTTTTGTTAAGGTGAGGCATCCAACCTGATGAAAGAATGAATCATGTACCCTCCAAGTGATAAAGGGTATAGGTTTACGGAGATGCTGAGAACCTCTTAAGTTTATAGAAGCGCTTTGGTTGTCATAAGAGCAATCGTAATCAGAGGACTGCATATTTTGAAGGACGAAACTTCAAACGCTGCATCATTTCTTTCTTCACCTATGCTTAAGCACTGTGTTTTGGGGGAGCAAAGGAGAATTAGGCTTCTCTTGAGGTAACTTATGATTTTTTTTTTCGCTTCTATAGTTTAAAAGTTTCTTTCTTAATCACGATTTTAATTATACTTAATTACAAGAAAGTTGTCATCTAAACAGGCAACATTTTTTTGGCTACTTTTTCCCACCTCAAAACCAAAAAGAAGGTTGTCCCAAAAGAAGCTTTGTTTTTTGGTTGCAGGAAAAGTTATAAAACAAATAAAAGAATGAGATGATGGGAAGATTTCATATGGTAAGACGGATTTTGCGCTGCAGTCCATCTTGCCGATAGTTTGTATTATTGCTGCATTTAAAACAACAAGAGTTTCATCAGAGTTACAGAAATTTAGTAGCAACTCTGTGCACATTTAAGTCTAGTTTCACTTCAATGAGCAATATTAGTGCTACAAGGATCTAATGCATTTTTCAACTCAAGCTAGTGACATCAAAGCTTTATGAGATTGGGGTTGTTAAGCTCTATGGGGCTTAGGGAGCCTAGAATGTTCTACTTGGATAGGAGTGCAAAGATCTCATGTTTTTCCATAATATTAAATCCAAAGAGAATTATTATTTGACTCAATTAGTAGCTACTTCAGAATTTTTTTCATCATTAAAACCTGTAATGGTTTTGGGATCAAAAGATTCCTAGTTGCTTGGAAAAACCCATCTTAGAATTTGTGCCCGAGTGCTCCATTTGTTTATTCATTTTCTTCTTTGGTTGTGCAGGGTTAAGTAGATGACTAACAAAATGAAATTTTCTCAAAGAGTTGCATCATGAGATCTTTCTTTTCCAGAATTGATAACACTGTGGTCTTGGCTACGATGAGGGTGCATGCGATAAAAGGAAGTACATGACATAAACTGATTGTGAAGATTTTTCGAGCTTTCATTTTTTTTGTTTTGGAGGAGAAAGGGTGATTTAGAATTCAGGAAGGGTGGTGCATGCTTGTTCTTTGTGTGCGTTTTTTATGACCTTTTGATAGTGGATCAATCTTCTCTTCACATGAAGCTCTATCAAAGTTAAATCTATAAATCTTAGTGTCTTTTGTGTGAAATAGATGTTTGATTAATTTATCGTAGTACCTGTGGGATTGGCTCATCACAGTCATCAGGATTGATGAAGCTCATCACACCGAAAGACTTTCCTGCATCATGAAAAAAACTTTAGAACTAAAAGCAAAGAGAAGCAATAGAATAAAGAGAGGCTTCCATGCACCAACCTATCTCAAACTTATGAGGATTATTATCCACACCAATAATTTGAGAAGCACCCCTTATTTTAGCAGCTTGGGCTACCTAATTCGGTCAAAAGCAACGAATAAAAAAAAAATTCACAGGAAAATTCATCTGATGTAAAATTTGGGATGTTAAATTGAAGATGGATTTTGTTGCAATACTCACTGAAAGGCCCACAGTTCCCAAACCAAAAATAACGACGGTTGAACCTTTAGATACATCAGCAACTTTCCAAACTGCTCCAAATCCTACAGAGTAAAAATGTTTCGTAACCCTAGGACAAGCTCAATATTTTCGCAAGCAAAGATTTTGTAACGCTAATAGATGAGTACAGTATTATACATCAAAATTTGGAAGTAGACTGTTGTGCTTCTCGCAAGACCAGTGTACGCTTATGGTTGATCTATTACAGCAAAAAGAAAGAAATTGGCATCTACAACATTTCAGTAATGTTTCTAATGCAGCTTTAATATATAATGTAGATTGAAAGCACAGCCCACTGATGCAACAAATATAGAATAGTCACAGAAAAGAAGTTATTATTCTTGAAAAACTATTAATATCTTAAAAAAAAATGATGAATCAAATTCAAACAAAAGATTTAATTACTCCTATTATAAAAAAAGAAAAAGAAAAAATAAGGATCTTGAAAATGAAACCACTGAAATTTCACACAAGAAAATAAAATTATATCATATTTAACAAAATTCAACTGTGCTTTCAATCGTTAATGAATAATGATTAGACCAGGGAGGGGAAAAAGATAAAAAAGGAAATATCACCGTCAAACAAGCCACGTGATTTTACAAGAAATAATTTGCCCTAGAGTTTTAAAGTTTAAAATTTTATCAAGGAACAAAATCTTGGTAAGTAAAAGAATTTGCACATCCAAAGTTACACTTAGTATAATTAAGTTTCTATATATGCCATACATTTATAATCCTCATAGCATATTACAAAAGAAAAAAATTGAGTCTAAGAAATGGTCCGCTGAATACTACAACAATCACAACTGAAAACAGCCAAAGAATCATAAATAGAGGGAGCAAAAAAATACCCACCAAATAAAGAAAAAGAGACGGATGCAAAAACAGAGGATGCTAACACAAAAACCAAATCAACTATTGAAACCTTTAACCACAATAGGAGTTGTGGTAACTATAAATAAATGTAGAAAAAAACCAACAGGATCCGAGACTGGCTACTATAGCAAGGAATAAGAAGAGCAAAAGAATTATAACAAAGCAGCTGTAGAAAAGAAAAGATAACAATAATAGGATAGCTGCATCACACTGCACCATATTTGTTAAGATTTACCTAAAGGGATGCTCAATAAGGACTTTTTATTACTCGTCTTTCAAAGCAGAAGCTTCGTTTAATCATAACACTAGTATCCCTTAGCAACGAGTTTATTAAGGTGCTGCACACTGTCGACAGAATTGTCTGAGTTTAAAGAGGTAACCTAACATCAAATTGTGAAGCTTGTTGCTATCACGTTAATACGCGGCTGAATTTGAGCATCTTGGATTGAAATACAATCTGTCTGAACCTAAAGAACACACTATTACACATTTTCTGGGTGGTTTGGGGCCTTCTATAGCTAATGTAGTTCAGCTTTAACCTTTGCTTTGAAGGTGAAATGACAAAAAAATGGGTCGGAACACATCTTTGTGTGGTGTAACAGCTGAACAGGCCGACGTTAACTAATCTGGCCATGCTAGGGTGCTGCTAGCTGACAGAAAAGGGGATGGAAGCAGCCGGTCTGCAGTCCTGCCTTGTGGAAAACCTGTTACGAAAGTGGGAAACAATTCAACTAATGGACATTGCTTCAAATGTCATAAATTTGGCCTTAAAGTAGCCAATTGTCCAAATCATCGTGCCATTTCATTGGTGGAAGAGGGAAAAACCGAAACAGGAGATTTGCTAGAAGAGGAAGATACTAATTTGGTTGTAGAGCAATTAATACATGTTGATGAAGGAGAATTACTTGTAGTGTGGAGCTTACTTAGTGTCGATCAATCCTCCAACAAGGAATGAACACGGCACAACAATTTTAGGACTCGGTGCACCATCCATGATAAGATTTGTAATCTTATAATTGACGGTGGGGTTGCAAAAATGTGGTGTCCTCTACCATGGTTAAAAAGCTCGGGCTAGTTACCCAAGTTCACGTGCATTCTTATCAATTTAACTTAAAAGAGGAAATGAAATCAAACTCAAAAAACAATGTTTGATGCAATTCTCCATTCGGATGTGATTTCAAGAGGGAGTGCTATGCGATGTCATCTAAATGAATGCTTGTCACTTCCTTCTAAAATGCCCTTGGCAATATAGTTGCAAAATCATTTATGACAGGTATGTAATTACATACTCCTTCCTGGAAAATGGTCCTCAAATTACCTCAATTCCAATACAAGAGGAGGTGCAAAAAATTTGGAGGATTATCCAGTTGAACCAGAATTTGAGGTGGAGGAAAAACTAGAAAACACGGGGCTTAGTGATCCCTGACCGGGTTGGTAGAAACTCGATCCAACAGGGAGGCTCAACCAGCCGTCTAACCTTGAGGCGGAAGTTACCACCCCTTCTAACCCCCTTTTCCTATTTGAATCCTTGTTTTGTCTAGCCCTTTCTATTTAGCACTTTCCTTGCCTACCTCCTTTCTTCTCCATCACATTTCTATTTCTATTCCCTACCTATTCTATCAGCTACTCCTCATTACATATCGGCGGTGTTTGCTTTGGTTAGGAGTCGGATTTTGTCATCTGGAATTCAGACTTTTGTCCAAGCCAACCATCGCAGTTGTTTTCCTTTCTACGGTTGTATCTGAAGGCAAGGAAGTGCTCCAGTTGTATTTCACCTTCGCCCGAAATGGTGATCTTCTCCGAAGGTTTGAAGGGTGCTCTGACAGTAACTCGATTCTGCTAGGATATTTATCCTTCCCCGATCCCTGTCGTTGCTCTCCCAGTCATCATCCCTGTTGCCACCCTCCGCCATCCTACCCCCAGCCTTCCACAGTGCCGCCAACTCCCCTCCATTGCCACCCAACCGTCCCTTCCTATTCTCCCTGATGTGGCCTACTCCCATCTTACTTGTTGTCATAGTCCACTACGACTGCCCCTTTTGGCCCACATCCCATCAACGCCTTCCGTAATTCCCCTCTCCACCCTACAATTGCAGTTGCATCTCCCTCACAGCAAACCCACCTACTGTTGTTACTGTTATGAAAAATGACGACAATAAAGTGAAAAAACCGGATCGAAAAATTGCAAACAAAATTGCAAAAATTGCAAACCAGAAAATAACACACAGATTTACATGGTTCGGCTAATTTGCCTACGTCCACGGAGATGCGGGGGATTTCAATACATCGAGAAATTGCACCGTCGAACGCCTCGGCGTTTTCAAGAAAACATCTTTTCTCTCTCTTAGCTCTCAAGAGGACTTAGTTTTGCTCTTATGACATGCCAAAAGATGCTACTTAACGAAAACGGGAGAGAGGTAGGTGACACGTGGTAGGTAAGTCACATATCACGGTAGGTGAGGTAAGTCACAGGCTCCATCTAATAATTCTCCCACTTGGAGACTGGAACACTGACTGCACCATCTACTAGCTGCATCATCTACTAGTTGCATCATCTACTGGCAGTACCGACATTTTCCTCAATCATGATATCCTCCACTTTCCTCCACCTCTGCAATTCATGGCTCTTGTCTTCACGCTGGAAAACCAACTGAAGTCGAGCACAACTTCAATTTTTCATGAGTAGCGCCCTTAGTCAACATATCAGCGTCAACATAGTCTTGTACCTCCAAGCTCTTTCCTGGGTTACTGTATGGGCAATATCCTGCCTCAGTTGAAACCCTTTTTCAATAAGTTCAGACTTGTACCTCTTATGCCATCAAACGCAGTCTTCACCCAGTACACCCACTTGTTGTGCAATGTTTTCTTCCCTGATTGAAGTTTTGTCAGCTCCTAAGTTTGATTCCCTGACAGAGAATGCATCTCCTCCTTCATGGGCAGCTCCCACTTGCTCGAATTTTTATCTTGCAAGATTTTTCATGGTTTTGTGGTTCTCCACCATATATCTGTGGAACAATAGAAATGGGTGCCCCAGACTCACTCTCCTATTCACTTCCATCACTGCCCTCACTGTGGCATCTGGTAAATCAACAAATCTTATCTTTCTACAGTAACTAGAGCTTCTAAGAGATGTTACTAGAGAAGGTTCTCACACAGTGTGTACAATATTCAATTTTCCTCTCATTGATGCTCTGCCACCTTTCAAGAAACTGACATTCTTTTGTTTCCCCACAATGCACCTCTGACTCATATGTCTACACCTGAGTAAACTTGTATTCATATATAGTGTATCAGTTTTCTTACCCCGAGCCAGTACTAATGCTACTTTGATAACCTTCCAAATATTATCTAAGAACACTACTGAAGATCATCTTCATTGAGCTACCCGACAGAAATGAGGTTTTTTTTCAACTCAGGAATGTGTCTGTCCTTTTGCAAAGTTCATTTGTTCTTGTTAGGGAGTTCAACATCAACGTCTTTCATCCTCACCCCATTCAGAGCTTTTCCATCAGCCATATATACCTTACCAAAGTTACCTGCAACATAATTTCGCATTAACTCATGGTGGGAAAATGTATGTAAGGAAGCCCCTGAATCCAGTATTCAGTTTTCAACAGAACTGTGAACTGTCAGCAATAGTGCATCCTGTATTTCTTCAATTACCACATTTGCGCTATCATTCTTCTTATTCTTAGAATTCCTACAGTTCCTTTTTATGTGGTCAACCTTGCTACAATTCCAGCAGGTTGTCTGCTGACCAGACTTTAATTTTGATCTTCCTCTGTTTGAGTTCCTGTCCTGTGATCTCCCTCCGGAATCAACAATCAGTGTCGAACTCGAACCCGAAGTTTCGCCAGAATCTTTCCTGTGCACCTTCTCAGCCAAAATCAATTCATGAATATCATCATATTTCAATTTGAATTTATTTACAGAACTGCTAACTTCATGGCTACCCAGTTATTTGGCAATGATGCCAACAATATCAGCGCACGTATCTCATCATCAAAATCAAATTCAACAGACAACAATTAATTTGTGATAGTATTGAAATCATTCAGGTGTTGAGCAACAGGAACACATTCCGTCATCTTAAACTTGAATAACTTTTTCATCAAATGCATATTGTTATTTGTCGATGGTTTTTCATACATACCTGATAAAGTTGTC